GCGTGCCGCAAAGAGCGAGGCTGTCGCAATGGTGATGCGGTAGTCATGTTGCACTCACAGTGACGCAAGACTGCAGCACGCCAATTAGCCAATTGTGGGGCTAGGGTAGCAGCACAGGATTGTCGTGCTGTTGGACGAAGATACGCAGCAATATACTCATTTTATTTTTTATTTTAAATTTCGTGAAGAATTTCGATGTGACGCTGAGGCAAACGTTGTTCAGTTTATATTTCTGCATAACATAGTTTTCTTTCAGAATTTTTGGATTTGTTTTTTTTTGTTTTTTTTTTGCTGGGACCTTACCTGATCCTTGCACGGGCTGGCGACCCGGGACCCGGGCAGCCCGGCTGGTAGCCTAGGTCACGGATGTATTGTTCGGCATCTGGTCCGGATAGACGCATTTCGATCAATAGTTGGTTCCACAAAGCTAGTAGTTCTTGTTTCCTATTTTCAGTCTGCGTCCGAGTCTTAATCTCAGACGGTCCATCGCCCACAAAGAGCGTGATCGGAATAGGAAACAAAAACATGGTCACAAACCTCGCCAGAAGGGACATCTGCAGATTTTTTCAGAAGTGAGATATTTTCGAAGGACTAAAACAAGAAAATTCGTCGGCCAGGTTGATCTACCTCAAATAAACAAAAGAAGACAATTAATTCATCTGACTGCTGTTCTGTTTATTATGTGTGATGACGTCCTATACAGGTGAGTACACAGGCACACAACACAACTCACGACAACAGGTAAGTCCGCCAACAAACAGAACATTAATAGTTAGCGTCTTCCTTTCTGAGGATGTGTCTTCTGAAGTCCGGTGTGATCACACACTCGATCTGACGTCCAACACCACAGTCACGTCAGTCTTCCAACCGTGTCGCCTTCGTCGTCAAAGTGTATCTTCCCACTTAGGCACGTTCGTGCCTGCCACGTGTCACCCCTGGCATGCCAACACAGCAGCTCATCGAGTCTGCCACGTCAGCACGTTAGTCCAGTCATCATCATCAATGGGGGCACACGTCAACAACGTATGCCTTAATCGTCCATGTCAGCCAACCTGATCTCCTGGAGCGATACCAGCACGTCGCTAGTCAATCATACAATGCCACGTCAGCCAGGTAATGGAACACCACGTCAGACAATGCCACACCAGCCTGGAGCTCCTCACCGCAATAGACGAGTGGTAAGTCAGCACTGCCACGTCAACGTTCCTCAATAATCACTGGCCACGTCAGCAATGTATCCCGATCGCAAATGCGATCGATCAGGATCTGGATCGCAACGAGATCCTTACTGGGACATTCCCTGCCGGGATACCAATGTCACGTCAGCACCTGACGTGTGTTCTCAAGCGTTGTCCCTTGTCCATGTCAGCACGTGCGTCTTCGTCGTCGTTCTCGTACAGGTCACCGTCGTCGGTCACATCAGCGGGAATACAACTTTGATACCGAATTGAAATGAACCCAGATCGTGAAGACACTTACAAGCCCAGATGAATATCAACTTGCTGATGATTATCAATAATCATAATGGTGTCCATATAGAATGAGATGGGAAAAACATACACAGACGAAGGAGAGAGGAGGGAGATTAAACTTAGAAAGAAGAATAAAAGACAATGCCCACTTCTGCTTCGGGCTCTCTCCTCGATCACCACCTCACTAATCAATAATTTGAACTCGCATCTGAAGTTCTATCACATTGTACCAAGTGGCACGTCAATCAGTCCTCATCAACGAGCTGGAGCAATGTCGACGTCAAGATAACCAGGTACGTATCCACTATCGCCCCACAGTCATGATCTCCTCCCGAATGTCGTCGAAACAGAACAGCAATGCCAACAGTGTAGCCTCGCCACGCCAACAATAATAATATACGTGGCAGCGGCCACCTCAACGGCGGCGCGTGGCAGCTGCCACATCAACATGCCTAAAAGACAATTGCAAGCCAGCCACCATGCCGAGCCAACAGAACGTCGCCGTAGTTCTCCCAATTGCCAGCGTAGAGCCAGCGTCGCAGCGTTGCGCTAGAGTCGTTGTCAACGCGTGAAGTCAGCATTGACACAAGACAGAATGTTCCTCGAAGCCAGGAGGTCAACGCTTATGTAGCGTTGACGTGGGGTCTGGACCCCAGATGCTGCATCCCTCAGCTGTCGAGATCTCAACGGAAATGACGGCCCATATTGGCCTGCAACAAAATTCCCTGTGACCTTGATGCCGTCTGGGTACCTGCGCACAACAAGCGAGTGTATCCAACCAAGGGCCTGGGTGTGATACCTTTGACCTGATAGTTGACTTGGACGCTTGACTTTCCAGGGGGCAGCGCGTGGTCGCACTGCTTGGCACAGGCCGTGTTTGACCTGTGCCATCTGAGCGCAGTTTTAGGCCCCCAGACTGCTGCGGAACACGGGTTACTGCATCCATCTGAAATGAACATCTTTTGCCAGAAGGACAACCCCTACACCATACTGACTGGCATCAATGGTCAACACAAAAATGGCAGAGTAGGGTGAGAGTTTCAGGACAGGTACTTGGGTCAACGCTTTCTTCAATATGGAGAAAGCCAATCGGCATGTAGGTGTCCATCTGAAAGGAACATCTTTCACCATCAGGTTAGTCAGGGGAGTAGCCACAGTCGAGAGGTTTCTGATAAACTTCCTATAGTAAGATGCCAGACCCATGAAAGACCTGATGTCCCTAACAGTTTGTGGTTGTGGCCAATCCCTAACAACAGCCACCTTGGAGGCTTATGGAAAAAGACCATCTGCAGAAATCACATGTCCCAAATACAAAACAGGAGAAGCACCAAATGATGACTTTTCCGCGTTTATTTTGTATTTGTTTTTTATGAGAATCTGCACAACTTTCCTGAGATGATCTACATAGTCAACAACATTTTTGTTGAAAACCAGAATGTCATCCAGATAGACTACCACAAAACGATCAAGAAATGATTTGAAAATTTTGTTCATTTCTGTTTGGAAGGTTCCTGGCGACAGAGTGAGAAGAGCATGGATAATGCCGCTCACATGCTAACCGGACTCTGCCTGTGGAGAAACAGAATGGCCTCACACAGCAGCCACCATCCCCGAGAGGGCCCCTTCACCATGAGTGGCAGAATCCATCTGTTTTGCACAGGCTAAAGACACAGCTTGGCCAGGGAGAAGGGAGGCGGGGGGGGGTGCATAGTTTTCCGGAAGGTGCCCGCTTGCCACTGCACATATGGATATTGTTCCTGATTGAGTAGCCAGAACGAGTGGGACTCTGCCACTCACTGATAGTAACCTGCCACTATTATCCCACAGTTCCACGCCACTGAAATGATCCGGGGAAGCAAGATGTGCACATGAATACTTGGATCCATGTCAGGTACATAATACTGCAGAGCCGGCTGGAGTTGCAGTCGTCTTCCCATAGGCGCCATGGACAGCACTTTCGTGCTCATGCCAGTCACGGTATGGTCATGCTCTGGGCAAACAGCACAGTGCTCTGCTTCTATGCAGTGGACAATGCCTGCAAAATCAGAAACAGTATAGTGGTTCCGATTAGCGAGGGGAGACACATTAATGGCACAGTGCGCAAAATGGCCTCTCTGTAGCACAATAAGGTCTTGTGGCTCCGCAGACTGGAGGGTAGGGAGAGGTTCATTCCATTCTTGACAGTCTTCGCCAAGCATATCTAGCCCTGATAAGTCCATTTGGTTCTGGCAACATGATCATCTCCAACCACGGGTTCCATCAAATGATCAAAGGGTGCATCGCTGTCATTTGGAGTGGGGGAGTAAGGAGCGAAAGCTGATCAGCTACACATGTAGAGTGGCTGGCCGGTCGTGTGAATGCTGCACATGTGGCTGCGCTCATGTCTAGTGCACACAGTCCCACAATGCTGTAAAAATCGTCGCTACATTGTGGACAGCATACTCGGCATGGACTGTGCCTGTGTCACATGTATCGGAAGCGATGATGTCATTGACTAAGGTCAAGAGCATGGCAACGGGGTAGAGATAACTCCCGGCAGAGGTGTGACGATCATACTGTTCATGTACACACGAGGCCGTTGTATGTTGATGTGTGTGTTGTTATGTCTGATATACACAACTGTGATAACTCCACAAAAAAAAAGCATGACTGTGCTAGACTGACTGTTTCGTCAGACTTTCATCGACTCATCAGGAGGTTGAACGCTGACAGACTTCCCATGATGCATTTGACTGATGGACAAGGACGCACCATGTCACTCAGAGTTAGTGATTGATGCCTCTGAAAAAAGACATTCGCTTTACTCACACTAACACTGCAATCCTAGCAGACTGTTGGTCCACAGCCTGACACGAAAGGCAGTAAGTCTCAGAAACTTGTCTGTCCCAGTCATAAACCCCACTCTACACACCCACTCATATCCGCTGGCATGATTGTTAGTACAGTCCCAGCCCTAGTCGCATCTATGTTTGTTTTTTGTCTGTATGTGTGCTATCTGTGGCTTGGCTGGTTCCTGACTGCCGGTGTACCTGTGGCGTGCGACTCACCAATCCATATCATGTTGCGTTCATAACCACGCTCTGCAGCTTGCACTGGGAAATCAAACCAATCATCCACATCCCTCCTGCTAAATGTCAAACCATTCAGCAGAGTAAACATCCTTCAAATGGGCTTGGGTTTGAAAGGTCTTTAGAATGGAGGTGCACCTACATGCCCGTTTCAGCAATGATAAGGAAATCTTCATCCTTGGAAATGGCTACCCCATTAGCGAAATCCAGTCCATCCATAAGAATCTTGCTGGCATTGCTTAAGATGTCATATTCAATCAGTCTGCCACTTGGCACCCCTTCAAGCATCGAGTATACAAATTTTTCCAATGGCCACCGTGTGCTCGATTCTGAAACATACAAACGAGACTCGGACGAAACATCCAGGTTGTTGAAAAACCTGCCAGCCAGCACGTGCACCCACCATCCAACCATAGTCAACAATTGCCAGTGCGGCCGCCGGTGATAGCCCACCATAGCCACCCAGCCAAACAATCACCTTCAAAGTTACCATAGCCACCATGATCAAACACCACTGTAAGTATTCAGCAACCTTTAGTACTTCAACGCTCGAAACCCCTTGCTGCAACCGACTTGCAGATCATTCCCTCCATTAGAGCCCCCTTCTCAGACTCATCCCAGACTTGTCTTTGCTATACCATGGTCCCATACCCCAACCATACTCCTCCCATCTTGCCATATGGTTCACCAAGAAAACTGTTTTCACAACATGCCAACAAGCAATCTGTTGCTCTGTCCATCCATCCATCTGTTTTCCCATCCCTCGAACACAGCCCCCGAACAAACTCATTTAGCCATTCACTCTCCTCCCTGGACTTGATAATCACTTCTACAACTACATTCATGACTACCTATAGCAATGAATGTGCCCCTGAGGAAAGACTGCAAGACAAGGACAAGAGAGAATGGGTAAGAGAACAAGATCAGGGACGGCGAAGGAAAGAAAAGATAGGAAAATGAGAGAAAGCACAGAAGCAGCTGCAAGCAAAGGAGGGGGAGAAGGAACTGATTGCACCAATGGAAGAAGGGAAAGGAGGGAGGGAGGGAGGAAGGGAGGGAGGGAGGAAGGGAAGGAGGAACGGAGGGAGGGTGTGAGGGTG